CAATTGGATTGCTCTTTATCATCACTTGTTTTGAGCTTTTTGGTTGTTCGACCTGTTTGTGAAATTGTTGTTGGTGTTGTTGGTGTTAACACAGGACGCTTTCTACTTTTTGATTCATTCGATTGTTCCTGATGTGTCGTTATCTTTGCTTCGGTAGAAGCTGAAAGTTGACTAAGTTTTTGAGACAAATCATCCTCTTTCACTGTAAGCTCTACTAAAATTACAGTTGAGTCATTGTCAAGTACCTCTCCAACTGGAATTATGTCCTCGGTGTTATCATTGTCGTTATATTCATCTTCTTCTTGAATAATTCTTTGTTGAAGATTGTCAAAATCAATAATTTTATCTTCATCTTCATCGATATCGTCACCATATTTATGAAAGATATCATCAAATCGATCGACATCTGCTTCGAACTATATTAGAAAACATATTCTCTTAGAAAATCCTTCCAAAATATTTAAAATAATACATACATAGTCACCAGAATCAGTCATTTTGCCTTTTTCAATACTCAAAGACTGAATCTAAAGAGGTATAGAAATCTGAAATAAGTAATGAAAAATTTAATAAAATTGAATAATAAAAGTACAGTTTTCTTTAAAAAAAAATTGGATACAATTCATATTATGCAAAACAATATCGAATGTATGGAAAAAGTTCTTTTTCACACAGTGAAATAGTGTTATGTTGTGACGTTAATTTTTGGAGATGTACATTAGCTTCGATGATAGTTCAATAACATTTCTTGTCCGTTCGAAGGTTTGTGAAAGCATGAAGTTTTAATTTATAGACAGATACAAGGTGCTCACTTATATTGTTGAAACGTTTTATCATAATATCGAACATATCTTTAGTTAATATTCTATATGATGGATGTGTTGATACATTTTCTTTTACTTTATTCATTGTATCATTAAACTGAAATCGAGATTGATCTGCTCAAATTTGAGCAGTGTCAACATAAACTTGTATTAAATCAGCTTTGGTTCGCTGTAGAATTTTATTACATCGATTTTTTACTGATTGAACTGTTTGGGTGTCCATGATTGTATGTATCGTCGTGGGTCTTAATATTTCGAGTTTATCAAATGATTTTGGTAGATAATTAAGAGTGATACGTTGTTTTAATAGAGCAAGTTCAAGTTTCGATTTCTCCATAACGAATTTCTTTTCTGTAAGAGATTCGAATAGTTGTTTCTAAATAGAAGAAAAGGTAGGAAATTGAAAGTTTTTATACTATTCGAAAACTTACTTGATATAGATTTGGATTTTTACTACAAAATTCAAGTTCACATAATCGATCAAACATATTATATTCAATACGAATTATTTCTCTTTCAATAGGTATTCGATATAGAGCAATCGCATACTCCTGAACAAATTTCATAATAGTCTCTTCAATTCTACTTGTCCAACGATTGTGTAAGTGTTGCTTTTTCTCTTCCAATTGATTTTGGTAGTCGTCTGTTTGGATTCTATATTTGTCTAAAATCTTCTTCGTATATTTTATACACTCATCCTGATAGATTTCGTTGGGATGTGTGGCTTTCGTTTCATTTTCTGCAATCATTTTTAATTTCAATTCGAAAGGCCACAATAACAGCGATGGTTCTTTATTTTCTACTAATGTACCTTGACCAGAACGTAAATAGGTTGTATAAAGACGTTTTTGTAATTCAATACGCTGCAGTTGATCAATGAGAAATGCAATAGCTCGTAAGTCTTCCGTATAAATAGAAGTACCTGTTTGTCGACGAAGACCGAGGATCATCTGATCGAATTCTTTACTTTCATGTGATAAATATTCAGGTATCGTTTGAGTAGAGGTAACGTTTTGTGTTTTGGTTCGGTTTGTCGGATTCCATTGAGTAGTAGTACTTTCATATTCTTTAGGCAAGGCCGTTAGATGACTTAATTTCCCAGATAAATATTGTTGTTCTTTTTGGTCGCTAACTGTTACACCAACTAAAGTTTGATCTACTTGTCGGCATTCTTCAATATCAAATAAATCATCGTCATATTCTTTCACGAATTGCCTACGTTTCTTATCGAATTGAATACTTGTCTCATCATCTACATCAAAATCATCATGAAATTCTGCAAAAATATCTTCAATCTAAAATAGACATAACGCTTACATATTCTCTTAAATTCAACATAATTCCACTTACATCTCCTTGTGCGCGACACATTCCCTGATAAAAGCACAGAAAAAAATCTTTACAATGATGAAAATATCTACAAATATGAACATAAATCGAAATAATTATGTTCTAGTGCCGTTGAAACTAATGTTCGATGTATAAATATGAAGAATAGAAATGAGATATAAACACAAGAAGAAGTTGGAAACCACTTCAATGCATGTCATGCTTACAAAATCTTATCTATAATAATGATGGTTTGATTAAGTTTATTTAAATCTATAAACTAATGCTAAAATTAAAATTGTCATACACTAAGAAAACCTAAAAACTAAGCCAAAACTAAAACATTAGAATTTAAAATTTTGAACAAAGAAAAGTAATTGAAAAACAATAAAGATGTAGTTAATTCTAAACAACTGGTAGTCTTTGTTTACAAACAAAACAAAAAAAGACGAATCATATTGAATGCGACTGTAAGATAGATTAAATTGATCGACGTACTAAATTTGCACACCAAACATTTTGTCTTATATTTGTATTCATATTCAGATCAAAAATATGGCCTAATGTATTTAATTTAGCTTCAGTATGTGTAACAAATAAAGAGTGAACAATTTGACGAAATAGACCTGATGTATTGTGTGGTAAAGCGGCAATAATTGTTGCATTATATAGAGATACCTCATCGTAGAGTTTTGTACCATGAAAGTTCTTTCGAAAGAAATGAATTTGTTTTTCTATTTGACGTTTTGAAAATCGATAGCCTTCAGGTGGATTTGGTAAATCTTTGAGATATTTTTGTATATTTTCATCTTGATAAATATTTGATATTGTTGTTGTTGTTGTTGTCAAACGCATTCTTTCATAGCGAACATTGTCGGCATCAGCATCTTCGTTTTTCATTGGAACCAATGGCCAAAAATGTGGATTTCCATCTAAAAAGGCTTGTACTGTAGCTGAACATTGTTTTGGATGTTGATATAAGAGCATATTTTGTTTATTCGATGTGAAACTATTATCTCTATAGATTGGAAGGCGTTTCGTATTCTTTTCACCAAGCAATAATTTACCAATAGCAAAGATGGATTATCTGCGTCATTATTATCTCTACTTGGAAATGTTGGTAAAATTGAGAGACGATGTTGATTGTAAAAATGAAGTGTACGTGGTATATAATTCGGTTGATAAAGACCAATAGGTGTTCTATTTGGTGCTACTACGTCAATAATTTCGATTTGTCTTGTTGTTGTTCGTCGCTGTCGTTTTACTGATGGCCCTCTTGGTGTCAATGATTCTTTGAGCATTGGTAATTCCATGGTTGTAGCTAACAGACGACCTGTTGATGCTTCTTGAGTACGTTGTTCCTGTGCTGTTGGTGTGGAATACTGAGTAGTTTCCATTAAATGACCACTATCGTTTCTGTTCTGATCATTTTTCTCATTATTATTATTCTCCTCATCCGAACTGAATAGATGCGACATGTGTATGTCGAAATTGCCAATATCACTATTTTCATTCATTGTTAAAATGTATATTTGTTCTATTACAAAAGTCGTTCCACACAAATGCAATATCTAGAATATATGAGGAATAAATTAAAATCAATTCATTAAAGACCATGGACAATAGATAACATTCTTTTCTGTGAAATGAAAGGGGAAAGATAAAAGAAATACATGGTACCTACTTTCGACGTCGACGAATATAGAATAAAGAAATGTCGTGTAATGTGCAGCTATTTATAAACAAGAAACGAAGAGAGAGAGAGAGAGAGAGAGAGAGTGGCCGATGTAACATTTATTTTTCTATTTCCTTCTTGAATATGATTGGCCAAGAAAAGAAAGAAAGAGAATAAATTTTTACAATACAAAGCAACAATGGCAGACAATGAGCGTCAGTCAAACAAACATATATAGAAATGATTGAAGAAAAAATTAAAAATTAAGATTGGTTGCATGATTTCGAAACAAATAAAATAATTGACACATAACATAAGTCACCAATGTTTAAAAAAAGAAAAAACAAAAAGTTTGAAAAGGCGACGATTTTCTACAGACGAATAGATTGAATTCGGCATTTTTTAATTTCATTCATTGGTATATCGAATCTTTCTTGGTTATTTTGTTCAATTTCTTCGTAGTGTACGGATTCATTTCGTCTTTGTTGACTTGTGATTCGAGACATATGATGTACGTAAATTAGTGAAGAAACAGATCGACTTATATTTCTATAATACAAATCGATCTGCTAGTCTCAACTTTTGCTTTTCAGCAATCGACCTATTCGACAATTAAGTGAAGTAATATATAAATGCGCTTGAATTAAAATAATTGAAAAGAAATGCAGAGTTAATTTCGCCGACGCGTTTCGTGTTATTTATTTGATTAATAAAACACTCATCAGGGCTCTGCATTACAAATATAAGCACAAAAAACTAAAATCAAAATGAAGAAACCAAAATGAAAAAAATAGAATAAAAAGATAGAATAAACAAAATAATGAAAAAAAAGAAAGAATGAGAGGAAGCATATATTGAAAAATCGATTCGATATCCGGTAGTAACCACATCATTCCAATCTTATCAATAATAATTAAGTAATCTTATATATATATAATATCAATTAATCAATTTAAATTTCGAAAACTATATAAATTAATGTTTTTAATCTTGTAACTAACCATATTGATATTAAAAGTCAATTAACAAATAGATTATTTAAATATCAAAAGCTAATTTATCCATGAATTCTGTTTGAAGATATTATTTAAATGTTTAAATGTTTAAATAACAAAGCAAATAATATTTGAAAGAACAACGCGATTTTTGAAAAATCAATGTAATTTCTGCAAAATCAATGTAACTTTATCTATGTAACCAATCTATTTATTATTTCGTTTAATCTTGTTTGCCAAATCAAAGACAAATAATTATTTTGATGGTATTAATTATTTTAATACCAAATAATATATGACGAAATACTTATTAATCATATCTAGAAGGTGGTAAGATATATGATATATGATAACTTTTATATGATAATTTTTATATTAATTAATTTCGGTCGTCTCCCATGTGATAAGGATAACATATATCATGATTTCATATGGATCAATAATAGATAATTAATTGTTCATAATATGTAATACAATATTGGCCACCTGTGACAGATCGAAACATAGAAAATGTTTGCATTTTAATTATCTGGTATTAGTTAGATGTCGTTGTAAATTTTTAACATTACGTGTACCTAGAACAGGTAAGACTTCATTAATTGGAGATTCACCAAAATATTTGTTCCAGAGAGCATGGAATTTTATTGGGAATGTTCTCATACTCGAACAATAAGTAAAGTGAACGAACATTGTCTTACCATAATCCAATGACACTTTTTCTTTTACTGGAGAATCAATAACATTTTGACGATATTTAGCATAATTATTAAAGGTTAGTGGTTTATCAACACTGAGTTTTAATAGCACATTTTTAAATTGTTCATCAACAAATTTATTTGGATATTTATTTAACAGTAGTGCTATTCGTAATTTCTCACGTTCATCCAAATAGGCCTGAAAAGTTGAACAATACCTAATAGTACGAAGTAACATAGTGAAGATTATATTCTTCTTCATATGCAACGGATGAATACTATTAAATGGTAAATAATATGGTTCATAAGATGGTTTTTGATAAACAGAAGTAAATAGTTGACCATCTTGATTTTCTATATGCAAATCAAGAAAATCAGCTGTTGGACCTATATTTTCTGATAATTTGATATTTTCGTCAAAATGATTCCATCTGTCGATTTGTTTAAATAAATGTTGAGCTGGCCAATTAATTGTTATGAATATATCATCAATATATCGGAAATATAAACCACCACTGTTACTGATTTGTTTCACTATTTGTCGTTCATAAAAGAACATATAACAGTTGGCGATAGTTAATGTAAGAGGAGAACCCATTGCTCCTTCGCGAATTTGATGATAATATTGGCCATCATAAGAAAAATAATTATTTTGCATAACAAATCGACTTAATCTAATGATTGTTTCAACTTTTAGACCACCAACTTGTTTTAATTTTAAGTGATCTAACATTTTCTTTAATGATAATACCCCTTCAGTTTGTGGTACCATAGTATAAAGGTCTGTAACATCTATTGTACAAAATAAGGTTTCTTGGTGCATATTAATTCTAGACCATTTTTGCAACTGTTTGACTAATTCAAAACCAGAAGTAACAGTTGTTTCAAAAGCCATTTTATCAAATAAAGGTCGTAGTAAATTATCAAGAAATTTTGATATTTTAATTGTAGGATGTTTAAGACCAGAAACTATTGGTCGAAGAGGAGTACCCGGCTTGTGAGCTTTTGATAGATAATATAAATGAGCAAGCTCAACATCATTTGGATTAATACATAAGTTTTCATATTGTTTCTGGGTAATCCATTTAGCTAATCTTAAATCTAATAAATATTTATTTGTACGTTGAATTAAATCAGGTAATGGATCATTTGTACTAAGACATTGATATGCTTGTGTTTTATCCATATATTCTTCAGATTTTTTACGATAATCTTCAGATCTACCTATATGGAACACTTTTGATTTGTCTGATTTTCTTAATATAGCATTAGCCAATCTGAATTTATGTTTTAATCGTTTTACTAAACGTCCATAATTTTTCTTTTTCTTAATGATTGGATGATTCACAATTGATTGATTTTGAATTATTGAAGTATTTCGATGTTGACTAATAGCAGGTGTATCGTGTAAATTTTGAAGCAATGTATCTAATTCAGCAATAAATTCTTCGACTGGACGACCGGAGCTAACTTTCTTTTCGAAGAAACGAGTTTCAATTTTTCGCTGGAGAGTAGCCAACTCAGTAGTACGTCGTCGAGATGCCGTTTTTGGATCATTATAAATAAACCGAGGACCTAATTTTAGCAATTGATGTTCCTCCTCGGTTAATCGTATTTGTGCTTCATTGATTATGGCTGGAGCAAGAAGCCCTCGCCTAACGATCGAATAAGAGTCGGGGCAATTATTTCTTCTTCTTCTTGATTGTTGAGTTCGCCCTCGACTCGCTGTTCGGATAAAAAATGCACCGATTGTTCTGCTTCAAAATTGAATCGTTCCATACGTAATTCGTGATACTGTTTGAATGCGGCATAGCCAGGTTCAGCATTAAAGCCTTCATCATTATCTTGAGGAAAGCCTTCAATAATACGTTTAATTTCATTTAGTAATAATTCATGTTCCCGAGCTAATGATTGAACATATAATGTCATTGCTTGTGTACGAAAATCTCGAGTAATTTGACGCATTTGATTATATATGACTTGAGCCTCATCTTGACTAATGATTAATTCGTCAATTTTGAAAGAGAGGTCAGTTTTACTGATAAATTTTGGAGGCATATCATATTCAACACGTTTCACTGCTGTAAGATAATTTTTATTTTTAGTTGACCAAAGTTTCATTTTAGGTTTTAATGTTAAATGAATATTCCATTGAGATGGAGTAGCGATTTGTTCAAATTCTTCTAAGGCTTTGAATTCATCCATTTGAGCTTTGGCTAACTGAATACGAGTTTCATTTATTTTCTTGACATGTTGAGTACAATGTTGTAAATATTTTAATATTAATTTTTCAATTTCTTCAGTTTTACTACGAATTTTATCTACAGTTAACGGAACAGCAATTGGTTTCGGTGTTGTTGCTGTTGCTGTTATTTCTGTAGGAGTCGTTGTATTTGTTGTTGTAGTAGTTTGAGCTACATTATCGGCTGTAGGTTTTCCTTTTCGATACCCTGGGACTTGTGACCAGTAAGTACGTAATTGAACTTTAAGATCAGAAATGGTTGCATTAGCTTGAGCAACTACAGTTGATAATTGATTAATTTTCTTTTTAATAAATTGACTGTTGACAATATCATCACGTCTTTTTGTTCGTAGAATGATTTCTTTCGCCCAATGTTTATTTTCGGTACCCATTTTTAAATAGGTTTGCCATACTTGTAAATCATAATTAGCTCGAATCCATTCATCGTAAACAGGAATTGAAGCCATTAAATAAGCTTGATTACCACTAGTTTCAAGAATTTCTGTTGATGATGATGTCTCATTTTGTACCCATGTCATTATTCGATTATATGCAAGATATGTACGATTTTTCTTCTTGTTCTTTTTGTCGTTTTGATTTTTCTTGCTATTATTAACAAATGGTAATGGTTCACTATCATCGACATTTGATACTATATCAATGTCATCATTGTTATTATTTTCAGCCAATAAAGCAAAACGATTATTTTGAACAATATTTTCGTTTTGACAATATTCCTGTTGACGAATTCGTCGTTGTCGACGTCGAAATGATGCAATTGTTGTTTGTCGTCGTCGTTGATTTGATCCATTATATGTTCGTTGTTGTAATTGTTGTTCATTTGTACTATTTTGGTTATTGACAACAAATCAAAACAGATCGACCTATATTCTTGAAATACAAATCAATCTGCTAGTCTCAACCCTTGCTTTTCAGCAATCGATTTTATGTCAAATAAATTAACATAAATTTAAACTGAACGAAATAATTGTGCTTGAAATTAGAATAATATAATAAAATAATGCAGATATATTTTGCCGACGCGTTTCATGTTTATTTGAAAATTAAAACACTCTTCAGGGCACTGCATTATATAATAATAGTAAGCACAAATAGAAAATAAAAAATAAAAAATAATAAAATATTTAAATAATAAATGAAAAATTGGAAAATTGGAAAAAAGAAGCAAGTTTCAAATAATAAATGAAGCAATTCTTAAATAATAAATGAAAAATTGAAAAAAGAAGTAACTTAAGGAAACAATAGGTTTAAATAAGAGATGATTGAAAGACAATGAAATCATCTATATATATAAAGAAGAATGTCTGTTTGTGTGTTTGTTTGTTCGCGATGCACTCAGTCCCTGTTATAGCTATAGTCACCAAACTTTCCATAATTCTTTTCTGAGTCCTGGGAAAGGTCGACGTCCACTTTTTTTCGAAAAAAAATCAATCGTTCCCTTGCTACAGGCTGCAAATGTAACTGACCAATAGGATTGCAGCATTTCAAAACAGTCAATTAANTTCGATATAGAGCAATCGCATACTCCTGAACAAATTTCATAATAGTCTCTTCAATTCTACTTGTCCAACGATTGTGTAAGTGTTGCTTTTTCTCTTCCAATCGATTTTGGTAGTCATCTGTTTGGATTCTATATTTGTTTAGAATCTTCTCTACATATTTTATACACTCATCGTGATAGATTTCGTTGGGATGTGTAGCTTTCGTTTCATTTTCTGCAATCATTTTTAATTTCAGTTCGGAAGGCCACAATACTAGAGACGGTTCTTTATTTTCTACTAATGTACCCTGACCAGAACGTAAATATGTTGTATAGAGACGTTCTTCTAATTCAATACGCTGCAGTTGATCAATGAGAAATGCAATAGCTCTTAAGTCTTCCGTATAAATCGAAGTGCCAGTTTGTAGACGGAGACCGAGAATCATCTGATCGAAATCTTTACTTTCATATGATAAATATTCAGGTATCGTTTGAGTGGAGGTAACGTTTTCTGTTTTGGTTCGGTTTGTCGGATTCCATTGAGCAGTACTTTCATATTCTTTAGGCAAGGCCGCTAGATGACTTAATTTCCCAGATAAATATTGTTGTTCTTCTTCATCGCCAACTGTTACACCAACTAAAGTTTGATCTATTTGTCGGCATTCTTCAATATCAAATAAATCATCGTCATATTCTTTCACGAATTGCCTACGTTTCTTATCGAATTGAATACTTGTCTCATCATCTACATCAAAATCATCACGAAATTCTTGAAGAATAGCTTCAATCTAAAATAGAAATCACACTTACGTATTCTCTTAAATTCAACATGAGTCCACTTACATCTCCTTGTGCACGACACATTCCCTGATAAAAGCACAGAAAAAAATCTTTACAATGATGAAAATATCTACAAATATGAACATAAACCGAAATAATTATGCTTTAGTGCCCTTGAAACTAATGTTCGGCGTATAAATATGAAGAATAAAAATGAGATATAAACACAAGAAGAAGTTGGAAATCACTTCGATGGATGTGATTCTTACGAAATCTTATCTAAAATAATGATGATTGATTAAGTTTAATTGAAACTATAAACTAATACTAAAATTAAAATTGTCATACATTAAGAAAACCCAAAAACTAAGCCAAAACTAAAACATGAGAATTTAAAATTTTGAACAAAGAAAAGTAATTGAAAAACAATAAAGATGTAGTTAATTGTAAACAACTAGTAGTCTTTGTTCACAAACAAAACAAAAAAGACGAATCATATTGAATGTGGTTGTAAGATAGATTAAACTGATCGACGTACTAAATTTGCACACCAAGCACCTTGTCTTATATTTATAT